GTAGAGTTAAACTTTATTTGTTACAAAAATAGGATATTTCATCAATACTACCAAGAGCCATTTATAGATTTAATGCAATCCCTACCAAGATGACAATGGCACTTTTTTACAGAAGTAGAAAAAACATTCCTAAAATTTATATGGAACCACAAAAGATCCCAAATAGCCAAAAAAAAAAAATACTGAAAAAGAACAAAGCAGGTTGCGTCACACTTTCTGATTTCAAGCTATACTATGAAGTCATAGTCATCAAAACAGTATAGTACTGGCCTAAAAACAGATAAATAGACTAATGGAACAGAAGCAAGAGCCCAGAAACAAACCCAAGCATATATGGTCAACTAATGTTTGACAAAGGAGCCAAGAATACTCAATGGAGAAAAGACAGTCTCATCAATAAATGGTGCTGTGATGGGGCCAGCCCGGTGATGCAACAGTTAAGTTCACACGTTCCACTTTGGCAGGCCGGTGTTTGCTGGTTTAGATCCCGGGTGTAAACCTATGCACCACACTTATCAAGCCATGCCATGGTAGACATCCCACATATAAAATAGAGGAAGATGGGCATGGATGTTAGCTCAGGGCCAATCTTCTTCAGCAAAAAGAGGAGGATTGGAAGTAGATGTTAGCTCAGGGTTAATCCTCCTCAAAAAATAAAAATTAAAAAAAATGGTGCTGGTATAACTGGATACTCACACATAAAAGAACGAAACTGGACCCCTATTTTACACCACTCACAAAAATTAACTCGAAATGGATTAAAGACTTACATGTAAGACCTGAAATCATGAAACTCCCAGAAGAAAACATAGGCATAAAGGTCCATGACATGGGTCTTGGTAATGATTTATTGGCTATGACCCCTAGAGCACAAGCAACAAAATCAAGAATAAACAAGTTGGACTATATCAAATCAAAAAGCTTCTGCACAGCAAAGGAAACTATCAATAAAGTGAAAAGACAAGCTACAGAATGCGAAAAAAATATTTGCAAAACATATATCTGATAAGGGGTTATGTCCAAAATATACAAAGAACTTATACAACTCAATAGCAAAAAAATCAAATAATCCAACTAAAAACTGGGCAAAGGATCTGAATAGACATTTTTCCAAAGAAGATATAGAAAAGACCAACAGGGACATGAAAAGATGCTCAACATCACTAGTCTTTAGGGAAACGCAAGTTAAAACCACAATGCGATATCATCCCTCATTAGGATGTTAGGACGGCTAGTCTCAAAAAGACAAGACATAAATCCTGGAGTGGATGTGGACAAAAGAGAACACTTGTGCACTGTTGGTGGGGATTGTAAATTGTTACAGCCCATATTGAAAACAGCATGGAGGTTCTCAAAAAGTTAAAAATAGAACCACCAGATGATCCAGCCTTTCTGCTTCTGGGAATATATCTAAAGGAAACGAAAACACTAACTTGAAAATATATCTGCACGCACACGTTCATAGCAGCGTTATTTACAACAGTGAAGATATGAAAACAAACTAAAGGTCCATCAATAGATGAATGGATAAAGAAGTCGTGGTGTATATACAGTAGTCCCCCTGCATCCGAGGTTTTGCTTTCCGCGGTTTCGGTTACCGGTAGTAAACTGCGGTGCAAAAATATTAAATGACAAATTCCAGAAATAAAAAATTCATACGTTTTAAAGTGTGTGCCCTTTTGAGTAGCGTGATAAAAATCTCATGCTATCCTGCTCCATCCCAGCCTGAACATGAATCATCCCTTTGTCCAGCATATCCATGGTGCACACGCTACCCACCCCTTGGTCATCTAGCAGCCATCCCTGTTATCAGATGACTATTGCAGTGCTTATGTTCAAGTAACGCTTGTTTTACTTACTAATGGCCCCACAGCACAAGAGTAGTGACACTGGCAATTCAGATGCGCCAAAGAGGAGCAGTGAAGTGCTTCCTTTAAGTGAAAAGGTGAAAGTTCTCAACTTAATAAGGAAAAAATTCATACACTGAGGTTCTAAGATCTATGGTAACTTTTTATTACAGTGTATTGTTATAATTATTCTATTTTATTGTTAGTTATTGTTAATTTCTTACTGTGCCTAATTTATAAATTATATTGTTAGTTGTTAATCTTTCTGTGCCTAATTTATAAATTAAACTTTATCATATATATGTATGTATAGGAAAAAACATAGTATATATAGGGCTCACTACTATCTTCAGTTTTAGGCATCCACTGGGAGTCTTGGAACATATTCCTCTGGAAAAGGGGGGACTACTCTACACAATGTATACTGCTATATACAACTGTATACCATTCCATACAATAATGGAATATTATTCAACCATAAAAAATGAGGAAATCCTACTATTTGCGACAACATGGATGGATCTTCAAGGCATTATGCTAAGTGAAATAAGTCAAACAGAAAAAGACAAATGCTAAATAATCTCACTTATATGTGGAATCTAAAAAAATCCAAACTCATAGAAAAAGAGATCAGACTTGTAGTTAACAGAGGCAGAGGATAGGAAGAGGAGGAATTGGAGGAAAGCGGTAAAAATGTACAAACTTCCAGTTAGAAGATAAATAAGTACTAGGGAAGTAATGTACAACGTGATGACTATAGTTAACACTTCTGTATCACATATAGGAAAGTTGCTAAGAGAGGAAATCCTAAGAGTTCTCATCACAGGAACCTTTTTACTTTTCTTTTTGCTTTTCTTCTTATTGTATCTATATGAGATGATGAATATTAGCTGAACCTATTGTGGGAATCATTTCACAATATTTGTAAATCAAACCATCATGTTGTACATCTTAAACTTATACAATGCATATCAATATTTTTCAATAAAGCCGGAAAAAGTAGGACATTTTAAATTCTGACCTTTAACATATGTTGGATTTTTATAACCTAAAATCCCTATTATAAAATATGTGTGTTTTAAGTTTAAATTAGCCAACATTACGTATTATCCTATCATTAGTATATATTGATATTATTTGTTAGCACTGTTACTAGTAAGGTAAGCTTTATTGTATTATTTAAATTTTAGGGCCATTTAGAAATTCTATATCCTAGGAAAAGAGGAATCAAGATTTTGTAGCAAGCTCCCTTTTTAAGACATTTGCCTAAGTCATCATTTTAAATCGTGCTATTGAGCTCTCTTTTCCCCTTTCTGCTTTCTTATTGTATATGATAATCCTGTTTTTGGTTCTGCTTTTTCTGGACTATTTGACTTACAATTCCTAATATTTTCTTGTTTTTACGTATACACTTAAAAGAAATACCCTTCTATACTTTATAAACACACATATATTTAAAAAGAGGAAACAAATTCAGTTAGATATATTAACACATTTAACCTAATAAAATTAAGTTACTTTATTTTGATTAATTATTATTATTGCTCAAAGTGTTACAACTTCCTCCAAAAAGGCCCCCTTCAACCTGACATCATTTACCTTGTCTTAAATGTTCCTTGTTTGCCAATAACAATATGATATTGGTCCAACCTTAATTTTCCCCTCTGGAAGACATGAAATCAGCTAAATTCTAAAGAGCCCTGGTTCTTTCTTTCCTCCATTAAAAGCTTTTAATGACTTCCTTTTGAACTTTAGATGAACCTCTAAATTCTTTTCATTTTCTGTCACTCTCCCCACTCCTGGTGTTCTCCTCCCACACTGGCCTCCTTTTAGATCTCAGATGCACCAAGATAGGTGTTTGGGCTTAATTTCTGTTCTTGAGGAGTTTTTAGTCGAACGGAAGAAAGCATTGCAATAAACAACAGCAGAAACACAATATTTTCTTGGTATACCGGCACCTAGTACAGCACCTGGAATATAGCTGACCTGCAGCAAACAACTTGTGATTAAACTAAAGTAAGAGTCTGTCGGTTTGATAAGCAGATGAAAGACATTAACGTATAAATTAAAAGTGTTATTGCAACAGTGTTTCAAACAAAACAAATATTAGTTATCGAGGTCAAAACAAAATTACAGAAACATAAAAGTTTTGCAGATGGCTGCAGTGTGATGTGGAACACTGCCCAATGAAAGACATTGAAAAAGATGAGTTTAAGAAAATTTTTTCATGGTCACCTACTATGCATGTGCTGCAGCCCCTGCCTCGTGTCTGCCCTTACTTTATATGTCTACATAAATACGTATCAACAAATAATGACTTCCTACAATATCTAAGAATAAATGGCTAATGTGCAGAATTTTAACATCTAATAAATCATTAAAGTGGAACTACACGATTCATGCTTATCTTAAGCCCCCCTTCCTAATACCACCCAACAAATTACAGAATGTTTTTATTTTCTCTGATTTTTTTTACAACTGCTATAACTACAAGAGCAAAAATAATTACAAGCCAGACTTTTTATATGCAAGGAATTTCCACAAGCTCCCCAAAGCCATGAAAGCCAAGAGATTTTCTTTCATTTCTTCCACTGGTCCAGCCATCTGTTAATGGAGGAAACATGGCCCAGCACAGGGTATTCACTTGGACTACTGAGGATAGTCAGAAGAAAAAAGAATGGCGAAAAGGGCCCATACATTACTCTATACTGCATATACACAATTGTCTGACATTAGTATTTATCTCCCTAAATAACAAGATGACTTTTCGTGTAGTTTCTGCACTATAATTAATGCTCAGACCCAAGAAGAGATGATGATCTGTTGCTCTGAGCTGTTGGACTCAGCCTCAGAAGTCATCAGGCATCTTATGAGAATTACTTCTTCTTCACCATTAAAAGGCTTATAAGTAGTGTTTGTGCATATCAGACGCAAGAAGAAATATTTTGATTCAGAATAAAGAAAAATATTCCAGTTAAAGTCTGCAAACTGATGACCTTGGGAAAAAATGAGTTACATTTCCCGGGATGTTGTTCAAACGTAGTAGGTAACCACTTGGCAGGGAAGTTATAAAGAGAAATTTACAAATTCCTTGGATTGAAGGACGTTTAAGACCCCGTTCAAACCCATGGTTCTTTGAAAATAGATGCTTACCATACTCATATTTCTTGTTAGGAGTTCTGGATTGTATTTTCTTCCTTTTGGTATGAGATTCCACCACTGTGTAAATAGCCTTCTCAGTCATTTCTGGAGACGAGAGAAATGTATTGAGATAAGATATGGCGAAAGGAGACCCTCCTCCACAACCGTTCAAGAAAAAAAAATCATTACAATTCATACATCCAGACAACATATGGCAATTAGCTGTCAATAAAAATCACATGTAAGTAGATTTTTTCCCTCTTTTATAAGAATCTTTTATAAGTTAATATTGGAGTTTCCCACCAATTGTGGTCTTTTGTAGGCTAAGGGATGCTGCTGTGCCAATGATGGATGGAGAAATCATTTAATTTGAGGAGGGTAAAACTATAAGGTGTTAAGACAAATGATTATCATTTTAAAGAGGATCTTCTCCTACTATGATCAGAAAAAAAGAGATTGAAATAACAGGCCTGAATACATAAAACCAGAGCTATCAGAAAAAAGCAAACTAAGAAGTTGCCGTCTTGGCTGCCTGAGAGATACCAGACTCTTATATTTCAAGCACAAATCACAAAAGTTGCTTGTTTTGTTTTGTTTTTAATCTTAAACCATCTTGATTTGTAGCACAGCACATCCTGTTATACTGCAATGCCAGATTATAAGAAGCCAATTAATAGCTACAATGATAATAAATCCAGAACTATTCTGCTTTCTCCATCTTATTTTTCCAAAGGCCCTTCATTCCCACTTGTCAAACAACCTGCTTTTATTTTTAATTCAGTATGAATTCCCTCTTCTGTGTGATGAGGAGCCCATTGAAATTGAGAACAACCATGGGGAAACAGTTCACAGACATAAATCTGGACATATATTTTAAAAAATCCAGAGATTGGGGCCGGCCCCGTGGCCGAGTGGTTAAGTTAGCACGCTCCGCTGCAGGTGGCCCAGTGTTTCGTTGGTTCGAATCCTGGGCATAGACATGGCACCACTCATCGAGCCATGCTGAGGCTGTGTCCCACATGCCACAACTAGAAGGACCCACAACTAAGAATATACAACCATGTACCGGGGGGCTTTGGGGAGAAAAAGGCAAAAATAAACATCTTAAAAAAAAAAAAATCCAGAGAGCAAGAGACTAAGGGCTGGTCCAACAGTTTGACAACATCCACACCGTTGGCTCTCTAAATCTTTCTAATCTGTCCTTGGGCATGTTGATAACCTCGAGGCCACAACAGAGCTGCCACAGCTCCAGATAATTTGTCAGTATTCAAGGAAACAAAAAGAGAATAGAGGCAATGCAAGCCTTTCCAGAATTCCTCTAGCCAACTTTGTCTTAAGTTTCAATGGCCAAAGGTGGGCCACATGGCCACTCTAGCTGCAAAGGGAGCTGAGATAGTGAGTAACTTGTGCGAATGGCAGGGGAACAGGTGATTTAGAATGGCTCATGGATAGGCCAACCGTCTCTGACACCCAGTGCTAAGGCTACCACAAGACTTAAACAGACATCAACAAATTTTTGAGGACTTACTGTTTACACCCCAAAATAAATGTAAAAGTAATGAATCCAAGAGGGCTCTTTTACTTTTCAGAAAAGGAATGAGGAACTATACACCACAGTATATAGTGATAAAGAAATATCTTATACTATATTACTTGTTTGGCATTGTTATCTTCTGCTGGTTTATCTGTAGCAATTATCAGTTTAAAAAAAACAACCATAAAACCAAAGGAACCATAATAGTTTCCTTTGAGGAAATAAAAACGATAGAGTTAAAAAGATTCCCCCTGAGGTATTTGTCTGGGTTAGTGGTGATAAGAAGGGATATCATAGGCAGTAATGACTTTAAATAGGAAAAGAAAGAGAGATGAGTTTCTGGGACTTGCATCAAAGAAGAAAAGAAAAACAGTCTGGTCCTCAGCAGGAATTTTCAGATATGTTTTTATCTCTGTACAATATTCATTCTCACAGCTCTTCTTTAGATAATTGCTTTTATTTGCCTATTCTGGCTAAACACCAAGCTGGTTGTCCCTATTCACAGCTCCTCCAGCAATGCCCAATATCCTACCTTGCAGCAGTGCAAAGTCTCTGGAAAATTATGCATTTTTGCTATAATCATCCTGAACGAAATACATTCTCTTCCTCCAAATCCAGTTGAATGGATTCCTTTGAAAAGTCTTCCCTGTGCCTCAGCAGAGTGAACTCCACCCCTCCTGTGTGTTCTCAGTGCACCTTAATTATGACCCAAATACTTAGGTATTCACACTGCATTTCAATTATCTGTAGGCACGTCTGCCCTCTGAAATTTGAGCTCCCTAAGGGAAGAGTCTGTGGCTTAATTACCTTCATATTTTGAATAACAATTATAATGCTCTGCATATAGTAAATGTTAAATAAACAATTGTTGAACAACTGAATAAGGGAAAAAATTAATGTTCTATTGAGGGAAACAATTATAAACAAGGAAAATTAGAAAGAAGTGGCAATTAATTCTGTTTCAAAGTGTCTGAGAAAGAATAGTTTGATTTCCTTGAATGGCTTTGTTCCTACACTAAAATACAAAGTGTTCATCTTTTAAAAAATTTCAGCATATAAGGAAAAAAGAAATCTCATACTGTAGTTTGTCTGTATACCTCCACAGTACAAGAAATTCTCTATCTAGATTATTATAGTTTATAACTAAGAATAAAGTCTAACTAGAAATGATAACACTAAACATTCACAAAAATAATGTTATTTCTAAAGAAAGAAAAAGGTGAACATATCTTCTCCACTTTCCTCAGTCCTTGTAATTCACTTTCTTCCATTCTAAAGGAAAGAAACCTTAGAGGGCACAGCATTATTCCATTTCCAGAATAGAAATTCTTCTACTCAATGACCTGCTTTTAATTTAACTCAATTCAACTTGAAAATATTCTAATTGGGGACATTCAATTCCTTTCCCTAAAGTTCAATTGTTGTGAGTTTCCTCCACTGTTCTGGGATTTCAAATATCAATCTCCATCAGATAGAATTAAGGATGTTAACAAAATCTATAGAAGTAGTAGCTGATGACACCTTTGACCTTACCTGAAAATTCCATGGTTTCATCAGAAATGGAGTTGAGAGTGGTTCATTTCTCTAATGAAGGCTGAACAAGAGGAAAAGATCTGATGTCCAGAACAACTGAAAATATTCTCAGCAATAGAATAAGAGATCTATTGACATTTCAGAGACATTCTGAAAGTTTCTGTTCTGGTCAGAATTCTTATATATGCGTACGCTTTTTTTAAAGGACCTCTTCTCCTTTCTTCACTCTAGGGCATAGGTGAAGAACAGGTACCTGTGAGGTTAATAGTTTTGACTGATAAATGGAGGAAAAAATACTACCATAGATAACTAGATAATGTAAAGAAGGAAAGAAGAAAGAAAGCAGGAAAAAAAAGAAAAGAATGAGAAGAAATAGAAAAGAATGGGAAATAATCTAGTCAAAGTTGTGAGAGGGTTAGCTCGGAATCTCTGTAATCATTTCGCAATGTAGTTTCCATGTAGAGATCTCATCTTTCCCTAGTGTTGCCTGAGAGGAAATCCAAGCGAGAACTAAGAGGATGGAAGAATGTTCTGCCAGACAGCACCTCCCACCTTGGGACAGACAGAGATAATGAAGAAAACATAGAAAAAATTATAAATTCAAACTGTGGGAGAAGTCGGGAGAAGAATAATCTCTTAATTACCCAGAGAAAAGATTACAAATACTGAAATATTGTCATTTTATAAAAGCAATTGTTCATATGTTTTACTTTGCTAAATTATTGGGAAGAAAACCACACAACTTTCTTTTATTTCAATGAATGAATAAAAGAATGATGATCAAATATTTAAGGTATATTAGGAAATATGTTTTATATTATATATACAACATAGCCCCCACATCTGGAAACATAAGAAAAGTTATATACTAATGGTTTGTTGCCATCACTTTACAATACAACAATATTACATGATTTGTTCACTGTGTTCTTCCTTATTAGCAATGTGTTATGCAAATTAGGAACAAATGTAGTATAATAATGTAACAGTTCCATCAATTCCTGAACATGCATCAGTGGTGATTTGCCTGCAATGATTTTCATCTCTGGTTTTTATTTATAAACCTGTAACTTTAGCACAACCCAGAAGTAATCAACCAAGTTAATCTTCAAAAAGTCAAAGAAAATATTATCTATATTTCTAAACTTTAGCCACCCTGTATTTAACTTATATTATGTATATTCTGAAACTCTCCCTAATTACAATGTTCATTCCTCATTAATAAGTTGTTGTTGTGGATATTTATCTTTTAATTAATGATCACTTTGCCAAGTAGCCTAGACTTTAGGCAATTACTATGTCATATGCATTCTGAATTTTCAGTACTTACCACAGTTTCCTATACAGAGTAGTTCCTTGAAGAATATTTCTTGAATAAAAATGAACTCTTAAATTTCCTTATTTACTTTTGAAGTACATTTTGTTTATTTGACACTACACTTTGAGTACATACAATCCAGAGCCTTATTTCCTCTGATGGTTTTGTCATAATAAATACTCAGAGAGATTTTTCAAACGACGTCTTAGAGCTACCACTTCTCTGCTTATGCTTTTCACCACTGGAAGAGAGTTTTCTTTCTATTCAACTGAAGAAATTTCTTTTTTTAAAAAAAATGCTCGCTTCTCTTCCAAGATGTCCCTGATAAAAGCCGCTGTTGTGTTTTGGTTTGCATTGCTTTGATGAATAAAGCAAACTGCTACTAAGTAAAAGAAATGAATTTGTGTAAAATTCATACAAATTATGGAACCAACCTGGTGGTGTAGTGGTTAAGTTTGCACACTCTGCTTCGGGAGCCTGGAGTTGGCAGGTTCGGATCCCGGGCATGAACCCAGCTTTGTTTGTCAAGCCATTCCATGGCAGCATCTCACATACAATAGAGGAAGATTGGCAGAGGTGCTAGCTCAGCACCTCAATCCAAAAGAGGAAGATTGCTAACAGATGTTAGTTCATGGCTAATCTTCCTCACACACACACACACACACACACACACGCACACATACAAAATTTATACAAATTATGAAAGGAGTGTAAAAAATAGTTTTAAGTTCAACTCAGATAAAGGAATATTTATTTCATGTAATCCAAAGTAGCAAAATAGAAGACATGAATGAAATGAAAAGAGTTTCATAGAGCAGGAAAATGGGCAGTTATCTCTGACTGGGCTGGAATGTGAGCAACCTAACAAGGATGCACCATTTAAGGGAATTCTTAAAAGAAAATTAATTTTAGCTGCAGAAATGAGAAGGGAAAAAACACATCGGGCCAAAGAAATTCATGACTAGAGCAAGGAATGGGTGAAACAACCAGCACTTAGCACAGAGAATTCAAAGCTCACAATAACCACTTCTGAAACTGAATTATCTTATAGATTTTTGTGTAAGATAACTGGATTCTATTTTGAGATTCTGACAAAGACATGGAAGATAAAATCAAAAGAGGAAAAACTGAAAACAACCCTATTCCACATTATTCATTTCCAATATCCTTCTCTTGATATCCTGAGTCAGCATCTACCCATTGAGGATGAACACAGTATCACGTTGACCTCTTTTTTAAATCAGATTCAATTTGTATCTCCACTTGGTCTTACTGCTACTGTAACAGACTGAACGGCCTATTTTAAATAATTACTTGCATGAAAGCATTGCACCTGCCATTTTTAAGTGCCTATGATAACATATACACATATCTGCCTTTGTGTCCAGGAGAATGTCCATTATTCTCAGGCTACCAGGACAATGCAAAGATATCTGAGATAAAGATAAAGATCAGAGATATAGCACCATCAAGATTAGAGTCAGGCAGCCTGGGTTCAAACCCCCAACTCCAACTATTAATTAATTGAATAATCTTACAAGCCTCAATTTTCTCATCAGTAAAATGGAGATAATGATATTATCTCACATGATTGTTATATTGACAAGAGGAGAAAATATATGTGGATTCAGCAAGGAAAACAGAAATCTCTCTGAGTGATTAAAACAAAGGGAATTTAATTGAAGGAATTGATTAAGCAGGTGACTAAGATGCTATAAACCACCCAGGAGTCGAGAAGGAAACTCAGAGTTTAACAATACCAGGAAGCCTCTACTACCCTTTGAACTAAGAATAAACGAAGGAGGTGGTTTTCCTGGAACCAAACCACTGGCAGAAGCTAGAACCACAGAAGGTCTGTCCAATGAGAGGACCAGAGAAGTAATGCAGCCATTGCTAGAGATGCAGCCTAAAGTAGAGAGGGGTGAAAACTACTCCGGTTTCTCCCTTTCTCCCATCCTCAAATTCCTATTAGCATCTGTTGACATAACCCACCTCAAATCCAGAAACGCGGCTTTACAGAACCCAACTTATACACTGTCTCAAATTCTCAGCCTCAGCTTCATACGTCTCTTGAGATCTTTTTTTTCTTTTTTTTTAAAGATTGGCAACTGAGCTAGCTAACAACGCTTGCCAATATTTTTGTTTCTTTTCCTCAAAGCCCCCCAGTATATAGTTGTATATTCTAGTTGTGAGTGCCTCTGGTTGTGCTATGTGGGACACCGCCTCAGCATGGCCTGATGAGCAGTGCCATGTCCACGCCCGGGATCCGTAATCGGCAAAATCCCGGGCCACCAAAGTGGAGCACGTGAACTTAACCACTAGGCCATATGGCAAGCCCCTGTCTCTCAGGTTCTTAACCACTTACTTTACATAATTGTCCTTGCAGTGATCACCTGTGCTGAAGATGAATGCTTCCATTGTCTGAAGTCTATGACCGAACTGTCTGGCTCTGAACACCATTTCCAGATTCTGGTAAGCATCACCATAGGATACGAGAGCTGGATTCCCCAGCAGCTGTCCAGGCTAGAAGTGCAGATTACTCGTTTCCACTTGGAATGAACTATAACCAATGGGAGACAGTGAGGAAAAGGAATTGGCACATCAATTCCTCTTCACTCCTCCCTTCCCTGGACTATTTACACTTACCGTTTTTCTGCAGTCATGCCCCCCACGGTCAAATGACCAGCTTTGTTTCTTCATGGAGCAGTGGTCAGCCTAAGTATGTACCACCTTGTATTTCTTTCCCATCCTTTCTTACCTCACTTCCATTTTCCCTCATTTTCACTGCCCTGTAAAGCACTCATAGCACTTAAGTCTCTCCTCAGACTTTGTTTGGTTGAGACACTGGGAAATGCAGCCTGGAGGGGTTCGCTCCCCTGCAATGCAAAGCTGAGCAGAGGAAGAACAAGGTTTACCTCTGAGCAAAAACAGGTCCAGAGTGGCATATTCTAACCTCAACATTCGTTCCCATCCTTATATTCATATTTAAATCTTTAACAACTTCATGCTTCCAGCCATATGAGGCAACAATCTGCTATACCAAGAAAGAGGCTCTCACTCTTTCCCCAAAGGAGAGACACAAAGCCCGATTAGTCATTGTGTCTACCTACCTCAAATATTGGGCCTCCAAATGATAGGCAGTTCTCTCCATCAGCTCTAGATGTGGCCCCTCATACTTTGGAAATCTGCACTGCAATGATAAAGTGCACTAACACTTCCTATACTAAATAGGAGTGGAAACAGAGAAGAAAAAGGATACAATCCCTTATCATACACACATATCATATGCTTATCAACATATCTTCATGTCTATAATAGGTCATGAAACCATGGTTGATATTGATCACTTTCTACTCCCACCATCCATTCATTTTCCTCATGAGGCTAATGTCTCAACTAGTTGTGTGGTTCCTTATCTAGTGTGATAACTCCTCCCAAGTGTTCTTTTCCTATTTTATGTACAAGTTTTATTTAATAGCACTATCTCCATTATGTCCTCCTTTACCTTAGGGTCTTTAGGCTAGTAAACTGATTTAACTACCCATTAACTAATCCTGCCATAGTAGGCATAATAGGGAGCTAGGACTCAAGTGTATTGAGGGACATCCCCTGTTATAGATGTTCGGTCATTGCCTAACTCCTCCATCTTATGCTTTCTGCACCATTTAAGAGGTCACCTATGAGTCTTAGCATCTTAGCTTGAGACAACAGGAAATGTCCAGCCTTCTTGAATTGTCCTTTCCTTTATCTCTCTTTCTTATATAGAAACTTTGTAGTTTATATCTTCCAGACATCCAATATCTTTTCACAGTACAGAA